GTGTGATTGCGACTCCAATTGAGCAGGCCATGCTGACAATATAGGAATTAAAAATGTGACAAGGGGAACGCCACTGAAGTAATTACGCAGTACCACATTGCAATCGGATCATATACCTGATGTTGTACAAATGAGCGGAATTTCTAACCAATGTGTCCAATAATCAAATAACCCTAGCCGGTGAATGGCTAGGATTATTTCCTAATGAATTCGTTATTGATTGTCTCCAAATACTTCTTCTGTCCCAAATTAAATGAAACAATCTGTTTGCATGGTCGCATTCTAATCAACTTCTTGTCAAATTTGCTTTAAATTTTGATGAGAGCGCCGCAACTCACGTTGGTACACGCTGCAAAATTTTTGTGAAGAACGCATAAGTATTGGTCAAATGATTGTACTCTGAACCCACAGGATTTTTCCGAAAACCCCAATTTTCTCAGGCTGGCCCCGCCCCCTCCCCGCCCGCCCCCCAAAAACTGGCCCCTCGACCAGGTCGCTTTGCGTCTATCGGTGCACAGCGCTGTGTGGTTATCTGCGGCCACCGCTATGGCTGCAAGTTGGAGGCGTTCCTCTCAAAGTGCAGAGGGTGCGGAACCAAGTTTCGTACCGCTCGATCGTCGGTGGCGACCGTGGATTCGACAGCCTATTCAGCGTTTCAGATTTGGATCGGAAGTTGAGAAATCGACGAATTTCACAACCACAGCGTTTTTGAAAGGGGCTACCGCCATATGTGGGGTGGCCAAAAGTGTTAATGCCACCACCAAAAGTTTGGGGAAATGCGATTGTGAATTCGCTGCACAGCAGCGAAAATATCGCTGGAAGCGGCTGTGCCTGGCACAGGCCAAAAGGGGCACTTCGATTGCCATTCAAGCCACTTTGAAAGACGCTGCTGCAAGAGATTTTAGATGCCGCCCTTGCAGAACGCAGCAGCACCACTATGCACCATTTGGGATCTCCAATGGAGCATTCACACACTCCATCGGTCATATTTGGTGAGATTGATGCCTTTGTTGGCAGGTGTTCCCAAACACGCCATTGATTGGAGATCAGCAACGAATGGAAAGCGTTCGGTGTACGCAGCTGTTTTTTGGCTAGTCTTTAGACACTGGGAGAACTGCTGGCATCGGCAGATCCCAGATATGTCCTTGCGTCGCCATGGACGGTGGCGGGGATATCCGCAAATCCGTGATGACGAGATGGGCAGCCATGCGCCATCTCTGCTTGTTGTCCATCTCGATGGGTGCCGGTCGTTGCGACAGAGTTAGAGCGAGGTTGGCCGCTGTAACCTTACAGTGCCCTGAAGTCGAGAAAGAGGGGCTACAGTTGTGTGCTGGGTCATCTCGGACACGGGACCTATGTTTGGCGGGCGGGGTATGCCCTGGAAGGGACCAAATTCTGCACTAGAGTAGTGCATGTTCAATGCATTGCCAAATGCGGTGTACTTAATCGTTCTAGAGCACTCTAACCAAGGCCTCATAGGAGAGTGATGCTCATGCAAGGCACTGCGCCGTCGGAAAGAGGTGGCATATACTGTATGTTCATCACCAGGGTATGGCCATTTCTTGGGATATGGGGGCCCATATCCCAGTCACTGGCCTCTAAATTTTGCGACATTGGCCACATCTTGGGGAATTGGAATATCCTAGGCATACCCCAGGATGTGGGTGCCCATATCCTGGATATGAAGTGTCCAGAACCTAAGGCATATTCATTTACTCGTCCACATCGTCGCCGTATTCCAAGATATGGCGCGCCATTGCCATCATCGATATCTAGTATGTGGGGCCCCCATATCCTCGTCCATATCCAGGATATGCAACTATTTCTCTGAGGGATGGAGACGGAGTCGGAATCACTGACACGAAGTTGGAAAAAGCTCACAGCAAGGTGCTCATTTGTGTGGAATTCAACGCAAGCTGGCGACGACAAACGACGCCTTCCCAACCTTTTGGATGGCGCAGAATGGTTTCTATTCAAACCAGAACACACAATCCATCCTCTAATGTCTCGCGTCACAGGGATAAGTAAAGACTAGGTTAAAAGCTTCGCACAGTATTAGTGTTTTTGCTGACTCGAAGGCGCCATTATCCCAATGCCGCTATGGGTGATGGGCAGCATTAGTGACCGATATAGTATGTGGTCATTGTGTGGCATCCGAAACAACCGCCAAAGAAGCATAAGTACCCAGCACTTTGCAAAGGCATGTACATGAACAATGATTGACTTGATAATTGTCCTTTATTTGGATAAAATATGCTCCAATGTTGTTCCTTGAAATACTGACACATGATTGCTACCTTCAGTATTTCTCCACCTCCCATTAAAGAGCATGACCTTGTTTTAATCTTACTTCATTCGCATTGCATGCTTTGTTGGGTGGTTTTTGCCACGCGCCAAAACTTCAAGCCGGCGAGTCGAATGATGGAAATGGGGAACATTCATTCGGAGAGGAGAACAAATAGCCACACTTGGGGGGCCCACAGGCTAACACTGCCCTAACACAAACCCGTGTGTGCCCCCACACTTGGAAACTGCTGGGACGGGAAGTGAGCAAGGCAGTTTCCGACGGATTTAGTTGTACCCAGACTGATGCATTAAGGGAGGAAGACACGAATTACAGGTTCAGTACCGCTTGAGTTCATGCCAGCATGCCATGAAAATGGACAACCTGACCCACCAACAGGAGGTGATCAGACCAACAGTTAACATCTGTTTGCATACGCGCTTAGAACGGCGCTTCCAAGGGGAAAAGCGCAATGGCAATCAGGGATTGGGTACAGGAGACTCTTCAGCGCTTTCCAAAGAACTAAATACCGATCCTGCCCGTGTGATTTCGCAGACGACAGTTCGGTATGATCTGGATCAAAGGCATTCATCTCAGAAGATCATGTCAGATAGAGCGTCAATTACCGACCAGGAGGCCCGAACACCATTCCGGTGGCTGATGAAAGATAAGATCTAGTGAACTAAGGGGATTCTTTAGGTTCTGGCCGCACGCCGTTTTGTTGAAGCACAAATGCGGCCACTGTGGTTGAAACTTCGCCGAACGGTGCGTTCCTTCTCGACAGATCCCCCAACATAAAGGTTATAATAGAATTTGCTTCCCTTCCCACTGGAATTCCACTCCCTTCCAGGCTTGTTATTTACGCCGTAAACCCAGATCACATGACGTCTTTACGGGTAAAAATACGTAAATACAATGTAAAAACACCCTCGTGTACATAAGGACAGTTTATACAGCCTTCGAAGGCTTCTTCCCAAAGCTTCGGAACCGCGGGGAATGGAATCCAGACGCACTGTAGTGGGCAGAAAACGATTTTTTTCCACTCCATCGTGGCCCTTGCCGAGTGGAAGCGGACGCTGTGTTGCGGGCGCTCAAGGGGGCGGAGTACTGATCACTGTACGCAACTTCATCGTGTAACCTGGTTGTCACAGCGAGCAGCAAAAACGTAAAAGAACTTTAAAAGCAGCCTCTTTTGCAAATTTACGTTTTTGGGAGTAAGACGTAAAGGCAAACGTAAATAACAAGCCTGCTCCCTTCGAAGGGCTGACTTGTCCCAGGGGAAGTAATCACCACATTTGCAGTGCGCAGGTGGACGATTGCGCTCCCTTTCTGTTCTTGAAGATGCGAACCCCTGTGCCAACAAAGTTGTCCATCAGACTGAGCTAAGGGGAATCGTTACATCCAGGGACGTCATTACCGCAGAAAATTGCCTGGACTGATGAACGGGCAGCGCGAAAAAATCGCGCATGGGTGACCTTCGACAATCTTTTGTTCGAGTTCCCCATCTAAGGGCGGCTAACGTTCCTCTCCATTCTGATCGTGTGCTGTCCTGCATATGTGGTTGTATGCTTTCGGGATATGGTGCTCTGATTAAAAACTTCTGAGCACCACTCTTTTGCTCTATACACTTGTGTCAAACTTCCTTAGCCACACCGGTTCGAGACCCCGCTCATCGCAATCGAATGCGTGCAGCGATGGGCCACATCGCAGTACAACTCAAACAGTTTTGGTTCGACCTCCGTGGCAACCGTGGTGCATGCGGTGCTCAGACGCACTCGCCGTGCTTGGACGTACAAGTAACCAAGACTCAACTTGTCTTAGAACCAAACCAAGAGAAGCCACGAGCAATACTCGGGCTCTCTTTGAATAGCAGAGTATGCCTCATTTTTGACCCACAAGAACTTACACTCAAAACGGTGGAATGAACTAGCACTTCACACACGCATCATGCACTACCCCACCCCACGGCAACGACCCACAGCTCCAATTCACAGCACCAAATCACGATCACCAAAATTAGAAAAATTGTTGTGAAGCGTCCTCCCGCCATCTCAACCAAGTTGACGAGCGCATCAGTCAGCCCGCACATGAGCAGCTGTTCGCACAACATGGCAGCTGCGGCTGCCTTGGTGTGTTATAGTTTCATCTCTTTTAAACTGGCTCCTTATTCTGTATTCACTTTTCTCATTGAGCTTCACTGCTCTCTCCTTCTCGCTGCCAATCTCCCTCGTCGACGTGATCAAACGTTTTCGATTCCGCAGCTCTCCTGTCGGGACCTCTCCCGTACCCTTTTCCCGGTCGCCTGGCCGCTGCTGATCAAGCCGCCACCTGAGGCAGGAGCGCCCGGCTCTCTGGCGTTCGGATTGACCTGTCGCCGATGCACAGCCCCCAATGCTCATTGCCCGCAGAATGTCGGGGTCCTCTCCAACACCACGTGCGCAGGCCGAGCCCAACCTCATCGACTTGATATTACTGCACCTTGCAGCAGCCGCAGGATTTGCCGCGGGACGGGAGCAACGAGAAACTCGCCGGTGAGAAGCTCCCAGCACACCGTCCGACATCCCTGCCCCTCGTCACACCTCCTGCGCAAAACCCCCTTGATTGATTCCTGTCCGCCCGACTTACCTCATCCAACCAAGCAAAGAAGCAGCACGCATTAGAGCGCAGGAGAGCCATCCTCACAGAAGTCGAGCAGGGCGCCGGGCCTGGCGGCCTCATGGACCCCTTCTTCCTCACGTTCTCCAGCCGCGAGCTGGAGCAGTGGTACCTGAAGTATACGGCTGAATCGAGGGACCTTCACATCGACGCGTGCTACTGGTGGTTGGCGGTGGTGATACGCGCTCTGGCGCTGGTCAAGTTCGCCGGCAAGCGCGAGCACAGCCACCTGGCGATGTGCTACGCGCACCTGGCATGGCTGCTGGCTGAGGCGCCGCTTCGGCGGGCGCTGGGGCGCCGCGGCCTGTGGCGGCGGCGGGAGATCATCGTCGTCATCTCCAGGTGTGACGGAAGCGATTTTGAGGGTGGTACGCAGCGGGAAGGGGACCCCGGGACGGAAAACTGGGGTTTGATGAGTGGGGATGGATTGCACGGGCGGCAAAGATTGGAAGGGGGTGTTTCACCACAGCTTGGGTCGGATCTTTGGGCCAGAGAGCATGCCGTGGGCGTGTCTAAGCCCTTCACGATCGAAAGGATTTCGCGTCGCGGTGAAGCGTTTCCTTTCTCGGCGTTGCGGCCGATCGGTGTATCCTGCGTTGTTCGGATGGCATCGCCGGTGGAGGGGCTGTGGGCGGAGGAGGAGGGCGTGCGTGGCCTTGAGGAACGGTGTCTAGGCACGCATCCGGTGCACCGCATCGGAGGCCGTGTCGAATGCAGGCTTCCGGGGCGAGGGAGCTCAGCCTGCCCTGGACGCTTGCGGGCGCTGTGGGCCCACGGGTGGGGAGCTGCACCCGCCATGTGCATCAACCCTTTCGAGGGATATCCTGTTGTTCGGCGATTTAGCCGCATCCCCGGTGTCTTCAGTGCTATCGGTATCATGGCATAACAGCCGCGTGTTCTAGACGGGCGATAGGACCCCCGGTTCGGCCCTGTGGCGTTCGCGACCACCCGCATCCGCCAGCGCCATCAAATCTCTTTCCTCGCGCCTGTAATGCCGCATCCCTGGGATGCTTTGCAATCACACACCAGCAAGCCCGCATATGGTGTTGGCGTCGCTTTCTTCTGCGGCTATCTGCTGCGCATTTCTCCAGAGGAACGTCGCTTTTATGCTGACCTCACTCGGAGGTAAAGGTCCCAAAGTAGCGTAGTTGTGCCGAAGCGTTTTGTATACTGCCTGATGTCCACACATACCACACATGGTCCACTGCCCTCGCCCTGAGACCCAGGTCCACTGCCAACCTCAAGTTTGATCGATTGGGGGAATCGCAGGCCTCGTGAATTGCTGGAACTCGCCTTAGGGGACACGATATTCTGTCTTAGCTGCCTGTCAGATTATCCAGATGGCCCCCTCCATCTTGCCTTGGATTTAGCCTTGCGTCCATTGTCCTTTGAGCCTTAAAACTCAATTCCGTTGCACGGAGCTTCGACGTCGAAACTGCACAATATGCATCTGCCAGAGAATGACAGCTCAAAGCCCTTCACTGGCCTGTTCCTTTTTGTTGGGGGGTGAACAGTGCCTCTTATGTAATCTGCTTTGCAGAGGAACAACACACATGCTTGTTTTCTGTGTCTGGTCTCATACATATGTTTTTTATGGCCTCGCACGTGACTTTCAGCACTCTGCTGTGCCAGGCTTATCCACATCTGCGAATTTAGCACATCAATCAACGAGCCTGCAGCCGAAATGTTCCAGTTCGAGAGTCCAAACGTTTCTTGTAAATCCATCTTCTTCAGTGTTTTGTGGCATGGTTTGCTGCCCATGGTGTTCAGTGGCGTCTTTCAGCCCCTGCGGTTCTGGCTGCACCTTCCCTTGCACCTCCTTTCGTCAGCCTTCTTTCTTGCAACGCTCAATGTCGACCTCTGCATGGCCACGGGTGGTGCCAGCATTCCTGGCATGGACCCAGTACACGACTGGTTGGATGGCTTGGCGAAGCAAGTCCTGGGTATCCTCCTTGCCACGAGGCTTGATGACGATCCAGCATGGAAAGTGGAGTACCCCTGCCTGCAGATGGGCATGTTCCTTCAAGGGTACCTTGGGTTTGGCATAGTCTCGTACGTCATTTGGGTGTCTGAGCACAATTCCAGGGTGAAATTCGTCGAGAATCTTCCAAGAGAGAACAAGCCGAGTGAGCCTGTGATACCATTGCAGCACTCCATTGTTGTGTTTCATGCGGTGGCACTCATCGTTGCCTATGGGGTCTTGTGGCGAGTTTTTTTGAGCATTGGTCCTGGCATAATATATTGGAGAACCCATGGAGCAAGGCATCTTGGGACCACATCAGAAATGTCCTCCTTGCTGGGTAGCAACAGCGTATCGGAAGGAGATGCTCTGGGTGCTGGCAGCGCCTGGCTCGCGAAGGGTTGAGCGCTTCTCAAGAGGCAATTTTGGACTTTTGCCAGAAGTATGACTGAAATGAATAACGTAGATGGAGATGGCGAACATGACATAATTCTGCCATCTCTCAGGTTCGAACCTGCCGGAATTGAACAGGGGGCTGCCCTGGACTCACGAATTGACCTTGTACATTAACTTGATTTGCTTTAGCACTACGTGACTAGCACCAACCAAAGAGCGAGTTGGTGCAAGTGTGCAAGACTGCTGTTTGGGACGTCGCCAGCTCCTCGCCCTTCAAAGGGAGGGGGTTGTGGTGGGATGTCAGCAGGCACTCGGCAGAGGGAGAGCTGGCAACGCTCACCCCCAAGAACACCGTGGCAAAGTAGGCAAAGGCAATGGTGCATGGGATGCGTTGGCACAGACAGCTCAACCAGCGAGAATGAGGTCCGAATGGGAAATCAGAGCTCACCGGTTAGTGAGCAATGCTGACAGGCACCATGACACCGACATGCAACATAATGCACTGGCTCGACGTTTTCCCAACAGAATGTATGTTTTGCTTTGCAGGCTGCCTGACTGTTATCACTAGCAAAAAAAGCACCAAACAACACGTTCTACGAACACATATGTATGCATTTCATCAGCGTTGTGCACGCTAAAAACACGCAAATGACCCAGACCCGTAAATTTTGTACACGTTTTGAACACGCGTTGTTTGGCCCCTTTTTCCTAGTATACGGGATGTCCAATGCTCAGCGTCGATGTTCTTGTTTCACGCCAAGGTTTGCAGCGCCGCTGAGGTAAACGATTCGGATGATCGACTGCAAGCAAGGTGTTCAGACGCTTTTCAGCAATGCTGCCCTGTCTGAATGACCATGGCGTGGAATGGGCATCAGTGCTCCAATTTCAGTGCTCTTTGCCACCAAGGTGCAAAAGGAAGCCCAATCAGATAACCTGTGTCTTGAACCATGTCGTCGGGTGGCACATGCCTCGTTATCACATGACACAAAAAAATGTTCACACAAAGGTATCGGCGAAGGAAGATGAGCTGCGACGCAAGGGGCTGGCAGGCATCAAGAGTGATGCAATTCCGGTTTAGAGGCCACCGCCTGCTCTATCTTCAGATACTCTGGAACCAAGTCAGGATGGCTCCTGCAGACACCTGGACACATTTCGTTGCTGGCGCCATGGGCAGCAGACCGAACGATCAATCACCTGATTCGAGGTACGAACTTCTCAAGATGATCAAAGCTCGGAGGTTGAGAGAAATCTCGCCCCTCCCCGCCCAATTATTCAGGCAGAGGTACTGCAATGGTAAATTCGTGGATGATGTCGCCATCAGCTGTGTTGGTAATACCCAGTGCAGCAACAATACTGAATCAGTGACAATTTCGACAGTATTCCACAGTGCGCCCGGTGAAAAAGAGATCTGGGGTGGGACTGATTACGGTACTTCCAGCGGCATGGTTTTCTGTCCTGCCAAATCATCGGGCCCGGCGAATGGCCAGAATGCTTTGCTGGAAATTCCCTTTTGAAAAATAACGCGGTGCCTTTGCCAGGGGCATGGCGGAGGCCACTCCAATGCTTACATTACCCTCTTATCCTACAGAGTGCACGAGGGGAGGGCACAAACGAACGTAATTTTTATGTCCAGTTTCCGTTCAGACTGAAGCGCCACGAAATGTGAACGACACTTTTGCTTTTCCGTTTTGGCAAATCAAAGGCAGGGCACACGTTTTCGTTACCGTTTCAAAATCTAGACGTAAGACACACTTTCACGTTCACATTCCAGAACCCCTAATTTATTGCACTCGTTTGTGTTTTTTTTGAGCAGCGCGCGAAAATTTTTTGGCTTCAAGCGTTCTGCAGTGTTGTTGGTTGAGTGTGGGTGAGCAAGGAGACCGCAAGCAGGAACAATTGTGCGCTTCGTCGACGATGCCCACCCCCGGTCTCTTTTCATTGAAGTATTGGAAGCGCAAACATTCCCAACATTTGATTTGACGTCCCATGACTGAAACGGTTGGCTCACGTCCACGTTTCTGTGCTTGAAGCAGGAACGC